TTGGGGGGCAGGGTGAAAGGGGTGGTGAATAGGGAGAGTGTTCTGGGCCTGGATGGATGTGTGGATATCTGTGAGGGTGAATCTTTGGGGGTGAGGTTATTTGAGTGTATATTTGTGGATGGCTGTGTTGGGAGATTACATGTGCTGGAAGATTGGTAGATTGAGGGTGTGATGTGGAGCTGGTTTGGGGATGTGAGGGGTTTGGGTATGTGACTATGTAGTGAGTATGTGTTGCAAATGTGGGAGGGTGTGTGTGTAAGGGATGTGATAGAAGTGTGTTTGAGGGTAAGTAGGGTGCTTCAGTGAGGGTGCGTGTGAGTGAACATGGTGGAGGAAGGTATGTGAAGGATGTTAGGGGTCTATGTGGTATGCATTGGGAGGCTGCTGGGGAACAGCAGCATGTGTTGACTGCTAGAGCTGTGCAGAGCATCTCCTGTGACCTGAGGATGTGCCAGTCATGTCCTGGTACCACTTGGGGTGGGCTCTCTGCCCCCTGTACTCCATCCATTCCCCCCACATGGCAACACGGCTCCTGGGCTGGGTATGGTTGAGAAGGCCCTGGACACAGGGTACCCTGGGTGAAAGGTAGGGCCATGGCTCCAAGGCTCCTACCCTATTTTTCCTCTTCCTGATCTGAAGGGTGTCGGCAGAATAACAGGACATAGGAGGGGGCTGTTGGACTGTGTTCCACGTCCAGTTGCCATCTCTTTTTCCTGCTGCTCCTTTAATAAATACAGGGGGGCTAAACTGCCTCAATGAATCAAAGCGAAACCACTGCTGGCTACCTGTAGCCTGCAGGAATCTGGCCCTAATGGAAGGGAGAGGGAAAGGTGTTTGCTTAGGGAGTAACTTGAGACACAAGCTATCTGCATTATGACCCCCCAACCTCATATACACCTGTGCATTCATGTACACATACATGTACATAGCATTCCTTGGCTGCTCCTCTCCTGGCCTACAGAACTCTGGGATGGTCTGGTTCCCCCAGAGATGGCTGGGTAGCTGGTTTTGACAGCCCCTACCTGTGGTTCGTGAAGTTGGGCCCTAGGGTGGCAGGTGAGTGGGGGGATGATCCTTGCAGTTGGCTGGGGCTGGGCTTACCAGCTCCACCTCCTGCAGGCTCTGAAGCGGAAGCCAGATTTGTTCCTGTGTGAACGGTTGGATGTCAAAGCTGTGTTCCAATGTGGTAAGTGGGGTGGGGCCAGTTGGACATGTGGGTCTGGGACCCCCTGGGGAAGATCCTTAGGCCCTATGTGATCTGCCTCTGCCTCTCCCACAGCTGTGCTGGCACTCAAGTTCCCTGAGGCACCTACTGTCAAGGCCTCCTGTGGATTCTTTGTGAGTCCCATGCTGACCCCTGATCCCCCCACCACTCCTCTACCCAGCCCTGCCTTGCCCAGGACTCCAGAGGGTAGGGATGTGGTATGCAAGTCTTGCCTCCAGGATGAGGGGGGAAGGAACTGGGGCTGACAGGCCTCTTTATCCTCTGCAGACAGAGTTACTGCCTCGATGTGGGGAAGTAGAACCTGTGGGAAAGGTAGTACAGGAGGATGGCCGTATGCTGCTCATAGCAGTGCTGGAGGTGAGAAGAAGCAAGTGGGGGATTGATGGGAATACGGTGGCCCTCACTGCTGTTGCAGCTGCCCTTTTGGGAATCTTGAGCCTTTGGTTCCCTAAACTCTCTGATTCTGTTTCTTCCTCACTTAAATGTCTGAAAGTTGTCAGAGTTGCTGTGAGGATCAGCTGGCTCTCAAAAAGCAGCATTCACTTGTTATATGCAGTTTGCCTGAGGAACTGTCTGAGGGAGGTGGGGTGTGACTTGGCACCCTTGCTACGGAAGGGGCAAGGCCCTGGCATACTGAGAACCTGTCTTCCTCAGGCCATTGGGGGCCAAGCCTCCCGCAGCCTCATGGACTGCTTTGCCGACATCCTATTTGCTCTGAACAAACACTGCTTCAGCCTCCTGAGCATGTGGATCAAGGAGGCACTGCAGCCGCCTGGTTTTCCCTCTGCCCGCCTTAGCCCTGAACAGAAGGACACCTTCAGCCAGCAGATCCTTCGGTGAGCAGAGCTGGTGGGGCCTGGGCTCAGGACTGGAAGAGGAAGATGAGGTAGTGGGGGATGGTGCTAACCTGCTCTCCCTTCTCTCCTTCAGCGAGCGAGTGAACAAGAGGCGGGTAAAGGAGATGGTGAAGGAGTTCACACTGCTGTGCCGGGGACTACATGGCACAGATTACACAGCTGACTACTGAGGGGCATTCCCGTCCCACCACACCTCCTCCTCTCTCCTCCTTATCCCCAAAGAGTAAACCTAGACCCTTACTGCATGTTGTCTCTGCTTCCTTTCTACTGCCACAGTCACCTAACTGGGTGACTCCAGAAGGTCTGGGGTAAGGATGGGAGGGTGCTTGGATCCGGGTCTTGGTAGGGAGTAGTGGAGCCAACCTCTAGTTCCCAGGGTAGAAGGGGTACTGCTGAACCCAGCTGCTCCTAGGCTCAAGCCATTCAGAATACTGCCATTGCCCTTGGGGTGGGGTGAGGATTGTAGTAGTGTCAGCACCCTCTCCCTTTAAATTAGTTCCATGTTCATGAATGCTTACATTTATTTAATCAACAATGTCTAGTACTGGGCCCCTAGTTCTGCCTCACCTTGTTCTGTCTAAACAAAGGTTGATCTAGTGCATAGCTAATATGCTAAGCTGGGAGAATGGGACCAGTGAAGGAAGGCTGCGTGGAGGAAATTTTATCTCTGATGCGAATGGGAGGCTTCCGAGGTAGAGGACTTGGTACTCAGGCTGGGTCCAGTTGGGAGGGAAGAATTGGAGAGTGGCTTTGAGTTCCAGGATGGGTTTCTGGTGTGGGATTATGGAGGCACCCAGATTTGCACATGATCGGTGAGAGGTATAGAAAGTGTAACTGAGGCCCTAGCTGGTTTTGCTCAGTGGTTAGAGCATCAACCCTCAGACTGAAGGGTCCCAGTTCAATTCTGGCCAAGGGCAAGTACCTCAGTTGCAGGCTCAATCCTTGGCCCTGGTCTGGGCACATGTGGTAGGCAGCCAATCGATGTTTCTCTCTGACATTAATGTTCCTCTCTCCCCCTTCCAGTGTCTCTGAAAAGCAATGGAAAAAATATCCTTGAGTGAGGATGTAAAAAAATGAAAGAGGAAGGAAGGAAGG